CCGTCCCCCCCAAGCTCTGCCCCCCTGGCCCCCCCCTGCCCCCTCCCCCCAATGCTCCCCTTGGGTCCCAGCAGTCCGGGCTGGTCCTCCAGCAGCGCCTCCAGCTCCCGCACGGCCCCGCGCAGGTACACCCGCCGTCCCCGGTGCAGGGAGCTGCTGCAGGGTGGGGGTCAGGGTCAGGGCCACCCAACTGCCCCCCCGGACACCTCACTCCCCCAGTGAGGACAGTGCAACACATGGCAAAGGTGAGGGCTGTGGCACAGGGTCAGCATGGATCTGATCAGGGCTCCCCAGCTCCCCCCCATAGGGTTCTGGCACCCCCAGGAGCCCCTGGGACCCCCACATCCCTCTGGGACTCATGGGACCCCCAGGAGCCTCCAATCCTTTGGGATGTCCTGGGACGTCCCAGTTCCCCAGGACCACTGGGACCCTCCCCAGCCCCCCCCAGCCCTGCTGTCCCCCAACCTGTGAGCCACGGCATGTTCCTTGCACTCCTTGACATCGGCCACCCGCTTTCCGTACCTGGCAGGGCAGTGCCAGGCACAGCACCAGCCACAGCCCCCAGGAGAGCCCCAGGCACCCCACAGAGCCCCAGGCACCCCACAAAGCTCCTGGCACCCAGCACAACCTCCTGGCACCCTTTAAAGTCTCCTAGCACCCAGCATAGCCCCCGGCACCCAGCAGAGCTGCTGGCAGAGCCCCCCAGCCCCTGGCACCCACCGCAGCCGCCTCCCAGCACCCTGCGCGGCCGTGGCGCTGGCACGGCCATCATTACCCCTTGAAGCTGCTGAGCAGCTCCTCGGTGACCTTGTGGACCTGGAGGGCCTCGTCGCGGAGGAGGGTGATGTAGAGCGAGCCCTGCAGCGCCAGCCGCCACAGCTCCAGGCACTGCGGGGATGAGCCCAGTGCCCCCGGGCACACCAGGAACCCCACTGCAGGCACAGCTGTCAGGCGGGCAGAGCCTGCCCGCGCTGCCAGCCCCGTAGCGGGCATAGGAATGGCCCGAAACTGGGAGCCAGGTTGCCCACGAGGGACTGGGGACGCTGTGCCCACATGGGGCTGGAGACCCGCGGGCACTGCAAGGACTCACTGAGGATCCAGCGCTCCATCACCTCCAGGGACAGGTACTCGCAGGCCATCTGGGGACACAGGTGTCACTGTGTCACCGTCCTCAGCCCTCCTGCAGGCTCCCCCAGGACCTGCCCCAGTCCCCACGGCACGGTGACACTCACGGTGTCGGAGCTGGCGGGGCTGAGCATGGTGCCGGCGGTGCTGAGCAGGCTGAGGAGCTGGTCGCTGCGCCACTGCTCGGCCCCTTGGTTCCTCCGGGCGAAGAGGAAATGGAGGGACAGGAGGGCACTGGTGACAGCCTGGGGGAGAGGGGGACATCAGGCGGGGGCTGCGGGATGGCTTGGGGCAGGATGTGGCCCCACTGACTTGGGGGAGCACCATCCCACCTTGGTGTGCGGCCCAAATTCCTCCGTCAGCTTCTTGAGGGGGTGGTCATACTCCAGTACCATCTGTGCCAGGCGGGCAAAGCTGGGGTCACTGCGGGGACAGTGGCACAGGGGTCGGGGATGATCCTCGGGGCCAGCCCCAGTGGGGACGGTCCATGGGGACAGCCCCGGTGGGGACATCCGACGCACCTGGTGCCATGGCTCATCTCATGGGCGCAGTGGTACATGCCGATGAGCAGCCGGCGGTCCTCGGTGCGGGCCAGCAGCAGGACGAGGGACACGTAGGTGACAACCAGGTCCAGGTAGTTCTTGGTGAAGTCGTAGTTGACGTGCTGGAGAGGGGACAGCCATGAGCATGTGGGTACAGCCACAGCACCCCCAAAGTACCCCCCGGGACCCCCGGCGCCCCACTCACGATGTCAAAGAAGCACTGGCTGGCATCGATGGTGTTCAGCAGCTCATAGACATGGTCCTGGCAGCGAGGGGACAAGGGGCTTTGTCACTGCTGTCCCCCCAAGGTCTGAAATGCTGGTGCTGCCCCCCAAAACCCTGCTCTGCCCCCCAAAACCCCGCTCTGCCCCCCAAAACCCCGCTCTGTCCCCCAGTGTGTGCCCCAGCTGACCCTGAACTCCAGGACATCCAGGAAGGAGTGGTAGAAGGGTCCCAGCACCCGGACGATGTCCCCCTTGTCCTTGTGCACCGGGCCCAGGTGTTGCTGCAAAGGGACAGAGGGGACACTCAGGGTGGGGTGGCACAGGGGGGACACCCAGGGTGGAGCGACACAGGGAAGAAGGTGGCAGGATAACCAAGTGAGGGGGATGGAGGGGAAGTCAGGTGGTGGTGACACAAGGTGGGATGACAGACTGGGGTGACACGTGGCGGACAGTGTGGACACTGGACGGTGGGACAACCCAGGGTAGGGATGGTGAGGACACTTGGGATGGGGTGACATGTGGTAGGGGACAGAAGGGACACCAAGGTATGGCTGACATGGCGGGGGGGGGACAGAACGTTGGGGACAGAGGGGACACCTGGTCCCTCACCGTGCTGCTCCGCACGTCCAGGTGAGGAAACTTCTTGTTGATGAACTTGACAGAGGGCTCCATGGCCTTGTCGCTGAGGAAGGGTGGCCGCGTCTTGGGGTCGGAGCAGGTCTGGAAGGTATCCCCCAGCATCAGACCCCTCCAAAACCCCCTCCTGGGCTCAGACGCCCCCATCACACCCCCCTGCCCCAGCAATCCCACCCCCCCTTCTTTCTTCACAACCCTCCTTCCAGGAAGAATCCATGCTCTTCCCCATGAGATTGAGTGGGGTACCCCAGTGTCCTGTCCCCCAACCCCTCCCCCCCACAGGGGACCCATGCATCGGGGCTCCCTCCCCACCCCCACCCCGCACCCACCTTCTTGATGTTGTAGATGCGGACGAGGACGCCCCGTCCCCGGGCATTGAGGATCGGCAGCTT